AAATTGTTTAAGATTGCTCTAGCAGTACTTCGCCTATTTCCATCGAAGTCTGTTCTGTTTTCTAGATCAAATGCTTTTTTTTTTTTTTTTTTTTTTTTATACTTACTTTACGGGAGCTGCTGTTCCATCCAAAGCTGCGCCATTGTCGTGTCCGGGCACGCTTTCAATTTGCCAGTCGACAATCTCGGCCATGGTGACTGCTGATACGCTGGATCCTGTCCACACCGTCTCGGAGTGCAACTTGAATTCGATGTGAAAATTCAAAACCAACTGTTAGCCTTGAAAAAGGCTGTTTGTTGAACACGCTGGATCGTTGCGCGGTACTACTCGCGGTTACTGCTGCTGCTGGAAGGCCTCCTCTCGCTGATTCGATGCGCGACACTGCTCGCGGTTACTGCTGGAAGGCGCTCTCTCGCAACCGATGGTTCACCGCTCCGTTTCACGGCAACGGGTCGTGGTCTTGCTGCCGTTTGCTCTCTCTCTCTCTCTCTGTTCGATGTGCGACACTACTCGCGGTTATTGCTGCTGCTGGAAGGCGTCCTCTCGCTGATTTGATGCGCGGCACTGCTCGCGGTTATTGCTGCTATTGGATGCTACTCTATTCACATCAGTTGTATGAATGCCTAATGCGCGACACGGGTCGCGCTTTTATATGATACGTGTGCCCGCGGTTTTTCGTTCCCCCGCGTTATAGGCGATCCTCATTGGTTGACTAGTAACCGTTTTTCTATTACATCTAGTTATCCATGAGAAATGTTCGCGAGTCATAATGACTTTTTGCAAACTTGTCTATCGCTGGGTATCATTTATTTACTATTTTTTTTTCTCTCAATAATGAAGGGTTAGTTTATTTGTTTTGTCTTTATTTTAAATCATTTATTTTATTTTATTTTTAACTCAACTCTATCTACTACAGTACCCTCATCCATTAATGTATGAGCTAGGTAAAGATGAAGGAGTGTGCGTTTGACTAGTACTGTCGCATTACTGGCTCTCGCTAAATGTTCACACTGCCGTACTCTAGTGGAACTATCAACCTATCCTTTTCATAACTTTCTCTAGCTAATAAATTATCACACTAAACCTTCATGTTGATATTAGTATAGCATTTCCAACGAACTCTAGTTTAAAGTTATTTCTTCCTTTTCTTCAGTATGTGATTCACAATGGACCAGTATCCTTCAATTGGTCTGTTTGGTTGAATTTGAGCAGTGGCAACATTGGAAAGGCAGTCGTCTTTTCCGTAGGCACTCCTCCTGGTAAATTTTCTGGTTCATGGTCTCAGAAGTAACAAAAGTTTCGCTTTTCAACCCACAACTGCGGATTCATGCCAGACAAGGAACTTTTTGGGGAATTTCAACTTCTTTCTGATTTTACATTCTTCCGGGTCTCCAAATAGACCGGGATTTTCGTTTCGAGCGTACAGGATCGAATCGCGACGTGTGAAGCCATGATGTAAACAAATGAACTTATCCTGACAACCAATGCCTACTGTACAATCCGTCTTGGGTGTCGGAAATGTGTCAGCTTCTTCTAACTTTCTCCTGAAGTTTTTTTTTCTGAGTGCGCTGGATGCTCTTTCCAACCTCTCCCAAAAGTTTCCATCAGCATCCATTCGAATGTTTGTTTAATTGATTGAGATCCTCACAGAGTTAGTTTCCCGGGAATGTTATATTTAGAACTTTTCCGGAAAGAATGTATATTTAGCATGCTTTTTTAAACTGTAAGTCAAAATAGCTTCCATAGGATTTGCTGAAATGAATGGAAATTGATTCTCCCCTTACGGTTTCTTTTCATTAAGATAACAAGCCTATAAATAAATAAAAGAAATAAATATAATAAAACAGCTGCATTTAAAAAGATAATCACAATGTGCATTATGGCTATAAATGACATCTAAATTCATAATCTGTCTTCAAAATGCGCACCCCTAGTAGAATATTTGTCACAAACCGGTTGAGGTAACTTCTCTAGGACTAATTTTAGTCACAATAAAGTTCCTTTGATAGATGTTTTCTACTTGGGACACAAACAAATGTGTTCAGCTCATAGAGTTGAACTGATTTTGAGCTACTTGGGTCAAAAATTTATTTTATACACAGCAAAAAAATAATTTTGATATCACATCAAAATGGAAGCACTTCAACCGTGTCAAAAATATGGTGTAATATTATTTGCCAAAACAGAAAAAATAATCATGAATACAGTGCATGAACTGACATTACGCTGATTTTACTGCATTTGTTTATTTTCGTGACCATAAAAATTACATAAGATTTTCGACATGATTGTAGTGCATCCTCTTGGATGCAATATTAAAATATATTTTCTGCTGTGTAATGAAATGATAACCTAGAAGCAGGCGAAAAAAAAAATCATGTGACAATGTCATCCGTTACTTGATGATTATTGAAAATTGTCGAATTTCATGGATGAATCTCTAATCTCTGTAAGTCTTATAATCACTTCAATCTCACTCATTACTAATGGGGTGTTTACATCTGTGCGGATTTACTCGCTCTAGTGCACTCACCAACTAGCACGAATTTCATTTGCTCCTAAAGTTTCATGCTGGTAGACGCTGATGCCCTGTTTACATTATGCTAGTGAGATTTTTTTTTCTAGCAGCTAGCTACTCCAAACCTCTATTTATTTATTTTTCCTATGTTGATCTAAAGGGTGTCCCCCATCATTGCATCACGGAAAAAAATGCTGTAGAAAATTACCTAGTCGACCCATCCTTTTCAAACTTTCAGATAATAAGAAAATAACCCATTAGTAAGCTTTTGGCATATTTATTTCATTCAACTTCAATACCATAACCGTACGCTAGCACCTTACGCTTAACTCCACTCATTAGGTTCTGTGCAACATTTGGCTTCAGTTTCTTCTGTATGGAAACCCACTTTTTATCCATGTCTTCCGCAGATTTGACCTCTTTGGGATGCTTCCGTAGTGCCTGCTTCATAATAGCCCAGTATTTTACGATGGGCCTTACTTCCGGTGCGTTGGGGGGGGGGGGGGAGGGTTCATGTCGTTGGGTACGAAAATGACCCCGTTGGCTTTGTACCACTCCAGGACAACATTTGAACAGTGGCACGAAGCTAGATCCGGCCAGAAGATCGTAGGGCCCTCGTGTTGCTTCAACATTGGAAGCAGACGCTTCTGTAGACACTCCTTCAGGTAGATCTCCCCGTTTACAGTCCCGGTAGTCACGAACCGAGGTAGAAATCATGTATTTCTTGGCAAACTTTGAAAGTTTCTGCTTCCTTACTTCCTCCAGGGTATCAAACTTGTGCTGGGCGGTGATGAACAGTAGCCCCCCGGAAGCTGCCGGAAGTACGCCTTGACGTAAGGCTCATCATCCATGATGAGACAATGAGGCTTCGTCAGCATCTGGGTATACAGTTTCCGGGTCCGTGACTTTCCCACCGTATTTTGCCGTTCGTCACGATTTGGAGCCTTCTGCACTTTGTACTTATGCAGTCCCTTCTGGTCCTTGGCTCTCTGAACGAAAGACTTAGACAGATTCATCTTTTTGGCTACATCCCTGACCAAAGCATTCTGATTCCGCTTAAACGCTTTCACGAAACGCATGTGATCCTGATCACTAATAGAACATCCATTCTGACCGCATTACTCCTTCCGTTCGATGCACAGAAATTCGTAGTACGGCTCACCGTTGACTGCACATTTCTAAGTTGTTTTACGATGTCCCGATGAGAGAGTTAAGGATTTTTTAGGTGCTTGCGCAAAATAAATTCGCGACGTTGCTTTTCGGGTGACGCCATTTTTTCCAACTTTCGAAAAACTGACATTTATCGCTGTAAACAATACACTCTAAACCACTTCTACACAAATTTTCAAGAGAAAATACCCAATTGGTAATTTGCTACAGCGTTTTTTTCGTGATGCAATTTGATAAAGGGAAACCCCTTATTGTAGAATATCCAGTGTCCTTAGTTTAGTGCATGTCGTATTACTCCATCACTATTGAGAAATTATGAAGTAGGAGAAATGGCTATGAATCTAAAATTGGGCCCATCGCTAAAAATCTGCGTTTTAATCAATTTTATCTAGATGCACGCGTCATTGAGACGGTACTAATGAATATTTTTGATCGCTATTGAAAATTTAGGCGATTGCTGAATTTATGTATGGGCCCAAATTAGGGGCATTTAGGCCGACATTACATCCATTTCCTCTATTCGGTATTTTTTACAGTTGTCATTCTTGCATTTATCGCAAGGATCCGACTCTAATTGAAAGGTCCCGCTTTTTATACCCTTCGGAGTGATGAAATACTCTCCAAAGGCGCGCCCTTTTGTCAGTCAAAATTGGTTTCCTTAGCAACAAAATTAAGCAATGACATTGATAATGACTAGTCTTAACGACTTCTAACTAGGGAACAACGAATAGAAGATTAGAAATTACATAGATGAAGACTTGTTTCAAGATCATCTTCGGTGAACAAAGCCGACTCTTGTTACTATCAACAAGGCATGAAAAGTAGCAAGGACTAAGAGATGTGTTCCTTTGATTACTGAAAAATCCTGTTCCTTAAGTTTGAAGTAGTCAGGACTAGGAATCGGTGGTAGAACTTACATCCGGCAGCGTACCACGGAAAGGTGATCTACCCACGTTACGGGGCATGAACCTCTAATAATAATGTACACCATTTTCCACTATTTTCATTATGCCGTTGCACTTGCCATCAAATGTCTTAAAATATGATTGAATGCTGTGTAATAACCTCACAAACAGATCACTTTACAATGCGGCGCGGCAGCGGCACAAACGCCTCTCGTTTAGGAATACCCGATTAACGTCTAATGGCTTAATTTATGTACCGATTCACCTGTGAATACAACAGGTAGCATCACTCATCGCTCGCCAGCTTGTCAGCTTCATTGCACAGTTTTGTCACATGTCTAATTTGTCTATTTATTTTCTGTCTCCACATCTGCGGCCCCCGCCTTCCCGACAATCTTCCGGAACAGGTTGTTATGTATCACATGTTCGAGTCGTACAATGAGATTGGTGCGAGCAATATCCAGGTAGTGGATATTGTTTCCGGTGTTGCGTCGTTCTTTGTGGTTGCCCTTGGTGGCACCATCATCGGTTAGTATTCCCTTTATATTAATGGAAATAATAAAATATGAACACGCGTCATCTATTCTCTTTTTTTCTCCTGACGGCGTAAACAGGTGTAATCTGGGGCTTCCTTACCGGGCTTGTCACGCGGTTCACCGATCACGTTCGAGTCATCGAGCCAATCTTCATCTTTGTGATGGCTTATCTGGCGTATCTGAATGCTGAAATCTTCCACATGAGCGGCATCTTGGCGTAAGTATTTGTAGAAGAAAATACCGTCCCTCGAATGAGGTGGAAAATGATTGCATTGTGGGAAGGAAAATAAAATAATATAACTGCTTGGCAGACTGTTCCACTCGGATGGAAACATTCAAGGCCAATTAAGTAAAGAAACCTTTTCGATAGATGTTGTATTTGGAAGACTCTGTCTCACACAAACTGGACAGGGTGATTGCATCAGTTGTTCCAGTCACCGACACTCTCTTTAAAACTACCAAATTTTTAATTTCCATCCCAGTATCACCTTCTGCGGCATCACGATGAAGAACTACGTCGAGCAGAATGTGTCGCACAAATCGCACACCACCATCAAATACGCACTTAAAATGCTGTCGTCCTCGGCCGAAACGATTATCTTCATGTTCCTGGGCGTGGCCACCGTAAACAATCGGCACATTTGGAATACCTGGTTCGTCATATTGACAATAGTATTCTGTTCCGTTTTTAGAATTATAGGTAAGTGCGGGTGTGTGCTGGCTGGTTGGAATTTCCGCTAATCGATTCCATTCCCACACGTTTACAGGTGTACTAATATTATCAGCGATGGCAAATCGATTTAGGATACATAAATTATCTAAAGTAGATCAATTTGTTATGTCTTATGGAGGTAGGTGAACCTGCATTTTCTGTGGCAAATTGAAAATAACTCCTTCTCTGTACCCCCATCCCCACATCAAAAGGCCTTCGAGGTGCTGTGGCGTTCGCTTTAGTGCTACTGGTTTCAACGGACCACATTCCGCTGCAGCCGATGTTTGTGACGACCACGATTGCGGTCATCTACTTTACGGTGTTCCTGCAAGGTATCACTATCAAACCATTAGTCAGGGTACTGAACGTGAAACGCGCCAACAAACGGAAACCAACGATGAACGAGCGAATTCACGAGAGGGTGAGTACCACTTGTTTACACTGCCATTTTTTATCTTCCACATGATCCCATTACTTCCAGTTTATGGATCACATGATGGCGGGTATCGAAGATGTCGTCGGTAAAACGGGCAATTACAACATTAGGGATAAGTTTAAGAGATTTGACAATAGGTTCATTCGTCCATACCTGATTAAGAATTTACAGGTGAGTGTGGTGTGATGTCCTTCATTGTTTAGGAGTGTTAAAATCGTCTTTTGTCTCGTTTCAGGGTCCTGAACCAAAAATTTTAGAAACCTATTCTAAGCTAACGATGCGCGACGCGATGGACTACATGCGCCGGAACCCGTCCACGATCGGTCAGATGTCCGGCACCGAATCGATGAGCGCCCTCTTCCGAAACTATACCAGCGTTTTTGGTGGAAGGTGCGGGGCCTCATTCTTGAACACATGGTAAAAAATAATAGATCGATGCATGTGCCTTAAATTTGGTCCCTAAAGTTTATCGTAATCTTCCACCAGTACCAAATACAGTAGCTTGGGCTTCGCTAATGGTACAGTCAGCGCGTAAAGCGATCACAATAATAATCCTTAATTGCGTTAACCCCAGTATTAAGTTTGGATGTTGTGGTATTTGTTTGATTTGATATTAATGCTTGTGTTTTCTTATAATTCCAGTTATGATATTTTTGTTTGGTTTTCAGTATTCTCCTCCCAATTTTAGAATAATTGGTGCCAAAGTCGGATGGTGATCCCTAAGACATGCATCAATTTATTACTTTAACTTACCTGTGAAGTTGGCTAAGGTTTTTGATTTAACTAATATTTATACGTAGTACGACGATTCATTTCGATCACTAATCATTACTAATGACTGGTATTTTTGTATTACATCCTACAGCCCAAGCTTTTCCAATTTCGAAAACTCCACTCGTAACTTGGACATGCAAGAGCTTGACTACAATCCGTCTAAGAAGGATTTGACTGATGCCAGAATCCATCACCTGCTATCGGTGGAACTGAAACCATACCGAAGGGTGAGTACCTCTCTATTTGTTTCCTTTAATTTAAAATGTAATAACTATTAGTTGCAAGAAACCCCAAAATGAGCGCCAATTCGATTCTAGTAACAGATCATAGAGTCAATCACTTACTGCTTAGTACACAACAACCAACCAATCAATCAAACGTTATCGAAGGTTTCCGGTCCAAAGCAACTGTCGGTTTTCGTCATCCTCTTCGGATTCAGGAGAATTTTCTGGAATTGTAACTAATCATAAGCGACCAAACTAGTGAAAGGAACTTTTCGTGAAATAAAAGGAGTAGATACCGAATTATCGATTCAAATTGGAATATGGCTCAAGGCCTCTCCCACACTAGACTAATGCAAAATTTGACAGTTTCGCTCCACAATGCTCAAACAGCTTAAAATCGGATCCTTAATAGCCTCCCAAAATTTGAACTCATTTGGTAAAAAACTGACTGCACAAACCATTTGAAGTTTATATGGAAATTACTATGGGAAAACCAAAATTTTTGTTCATTGTCTTCTAACAATTTTCCATATTTCACTGTTGAAAATTTCTATAACTATTTTTATGGGAAATTTTCTAAGGTACAATTTTGCACAATATCGTTTCTCAGCCAAACGTCAAATTAAGTTATTATTAATTGTTTAAGAGATTGATAATCTTATGGCATGATCAAGCAGCTGTTCTGTGGGCAAAACTGTATTCTGCAGAGTGACATAGTAGCCATGACTTTAGTGCTCTATTCTACGCGCCAGAAACACCATTGTTGCCTTTACAATTGATTGAACATAATCATAAGGAATCAGTAACTTGAATCCTTTTGTTCTTTACATTTTATCGAAAAGTGGTCTTCAACAAAATTGTGGCTAAGAAAAATTCCTATAAGTATAGTTATTATTTTAAAACGCAGACCGGTATGTTTAACTGTTAGGCCGCTGCCATGCTGAAAGCGAAGAGCCGCACTTAGCGTTCTATAGAAAAGAATTACTATTATTGATATTATTCCTTACATTCGATTTCACGCTTCGCGCGCCTGTTCGCTGCATGCCAGCGGCCTTAGATAGATATGAACAAAAAATTGGCTTTCCCCTAGTAATATCCATATAAACTTCAAATGGTTTGTGGTAAGTCCGCTTGTTACTAAATGAGTTCAAATATTTGGAGGCTAATCAGGACCCAGTTTGAATCAGTTTGAGCACTGTGGAGCCAAAATTTCAAATTTTGTATCAGTCATTAGATGGCAGCACTGAAAGGAGCTTATTTAGCGGTATTATTTCACGATACAGTCAGCATGTTCAGCAAAGTTGGAGTATGAGTCAACGGCCATACAGGGTTTCCGTAAATGATTCTACATTCTACCAGTAGATGGCAACACTGTTCGAGCAGAATCAAATGATGATCAATCTCTCAGTATCGTTTTAAGATAGCGAATTCGAATGTTCAGCAAAGTTAAAGAATGAGTGAAGAGACAACCAGCGTTGCTGTAACTGATTCTAAATTCTACCAGTAGATGGCAACACTGCTCGAGTAGATTCAAATAGAGCTCGATATCTCAGTTTCGTTTCAAGATAGCGAATTCGAATGTTCAGCAAAGAAGGAGTGGGTGTCGAGAGCCATACATGGTGGCCATGAATGACTCATATTTATTCCGTTAGATGGCAACACTGCTCGGGTATAATCTAATGTAGCTCAATAATTGGTATCGTTCCAAGGTAGTGATGTATTCAGCAAAGTTGTAGTATGAGTCAAGAGCCAACCAGAGTTGCCATGAATGACAAGCAATTTTGCAGGTAGATGGCAACATCGCTCGAGTAGAATCAAATGGAGCTTAATATTTCGGTATCGTTCCCTGATAGCGACATCGAATGTTCTGCAAAATTAAAATTTGAGTAAAATATCCAGGATTTTCATCGCTGATTCTTAATTCTACTGTGAGATGTACAGTGTTGCCGATTTCGAATGTTCAGTAAGATTAGAATATGATTCTAGGCTTATTCAGGATTCCCGTCAATGATTCTAAATTGTACCGAGAGTATGTTCGGCTCTGAATGGCAACACTAGTCGATTAAAATTAAATAATGCTCAATATTTTGGTATCGGTAAGATATCGGGGGCCTCCCTTAGCTCAGTCGGTAAAGGTGCAGCAATTTCTGGTGCGGTCTAGGAATCTTTCGGGTTGGAAAATTTCTCGATTTCCCTGGGCATAGAGTATGATTGTACTTGCCACACCATTATACTAATGCAAAAATGGTACAGGCATCGAAAGCGCTCAATTAATAACTGTGGAAGTGCATATAGAACACTAATATGCGATAAGCAATAAGCTTGAAATGCCAGGATGATGAATAAGAAGAAGAATAAGAAGAAGATATCAACTTCTAATGTTCAATAAAATTGGAGTATGAGTCAGGAGCCGCACAGGGTTAACTTGAAGAACACTGAGCTCTACAGGGAGATGGCAACACTGCTCTAGTGGAATCAAGTATAGTTTCAAAACGGAGATTTGTTTCAAGATAGAAAATTATGAATTAAATTGAATTATGTCAGAGATGGCAGCTCTGGTTCTTACCAAACTAAAATGCATTATTTCTTAGCATCGATTCATGATAGGACATGTAATGTTCAACAAATATGAGTCAAGGGGCATCCATTCGGAACGAACCGGAAGCAAATTCATATAAATTCAAATTTTCAAATACATAAAACAAATTGCTTTTAAAAATGCAGTTGTGTTCATTATGCCCTTTGGACATTTTTCATGAGTTTATGTTGATCATGAATTATTTAACTCCTTGTAGCACGCTTGTCGCAAATCGTTCTCAGAAACTTTTATATGACTTATTTCAGCCATATTTTTTTATTCATCATATTCCTTGACTTTACAAACACCATCTTGAAGATCGTGGCATGGAACTGGACATCCATGAATATCCTTTACGACGTTTACCATGGCTGTCATAAGTAAATGGGATCAAAGCATACCACCAAAGAAGAATACTAAGATGAAACTGTCGGAAGAAAAACTTTCCATTTTAGGATCCTCTTTCACGGTCCCTTCCGTCCAAAGAATACCCCCGGTGCAAGGTAATTTTGTGGGTTTGCTGCCCCCTCGGTAGAGAAGAAATTTTGCCCACTTTTTTATCAAAATAATCACACCAAAATCAGAGATGTTCCATTTTTTAATTATTCGATAAACAACTAATCGATTATTTTTTGTTCGCTGTGCTGTCATTTTTCCACCAATGAGAGTGCAGCACATGTTTGAAACGATTGGTGATGATTCTATGGAGAAGTTAATGCTTATCGGCATGATACAACCGATAAAAAATATTTTACTTTGCGATTCGTTAATCGATTACTCGATTATTCGAATGAAAATCAACCATCACTAGATGAATGTGAAACGTCATTTCAAATATAAGGACCGTACATAAATAATGATACAACTTGTAAGGGAAGTGATTAGCCCACAAATTACGCGTCCACGGTAACTGAAAGAAACACGAGTCTTCACCGGTTGATACAACTGTGCTGGGGGCCAACCGTGGCTTTGGTGGCTACTGCGAAGAATAGTTTACTTCACTGTTTCCTCGTGCAGAAGCGTATGACTTCTTCGACTGGCATTTCAGTGACTTATGGTCAGAATGTAAACGGTGATGGGTTATTAGGCCGAATTCCATTTGGCTGAACGCCATTTCTGTCTATAATCGCATATCAGTCACATATGGAAAAAGTAGGCATTGAAAAATGTGCGTGGAAGTTACGAAGTGCAATTCCCATGTAAATATTTCAAAAATCATAGTAAATTTATTGATATTTTTTTCAAGTTAAATCAGGTGCAATAAAACTTGTATGTTTTGTTAAATCAGCAAAAAATATGGAATTCCGAATAGCTGAACTTTAACTTGAGGATGGAACTGATATGCGATTATTTTGCTTGATGGAACCAACTGACTTGATGCTGTTTTCACATTTTCATGATCAAAGTTCGTAGTTTCATTACGTTGTTATCTCAAAATTGACGAAAACCCATATGGGACTGATATGCAATTATAGGCAGATTTGGCCAAACGTCATTAGTTCAAACGCCATTAGGCCGAATGCCACTAGCCCAAATGCCATTAGGCCGAATGCCATCAGGTCGAATGCCATTAGGCCGAATGACATTAGGCCAAACACCATTAGGCCGAATGGGTCATTTGACCGAAATTTTCGTAGTTGTTCACTTTTCGTCATACGACATCTGTGTTGTTTTGAGGACTTAGCAGATTGCAATATATGTCAAAAATAAAAGGTGATGAATCATCCACACTACTACTCTTAATATCAGTCATGGTTCGCTCAGCTGTCTGTTTTGGTCAATTCATTCAACATAGAAAATACAGGCAAAATGAATACGAACGAAGCCGGCGCCGGTAGTGTAGTGGTAATCGTGACTGCTTTCTCACCCGAATGGTTCTGGGTTCAATCCCAGCCGAGGTTGGTGGGGTTTTTCTGAGGCATAAAAATCTCTGGTCACGACTTCCTTCGGAAGGGAAGTAAAGCCGTTGGTCCCGGCCCATGTGTGTTTGAATGGGTGCGATATCCTACGCAGGTGTGGAAGCTGCCTTCCTGCACATTCGATTACCGTGAATGGATGGCAATCGATGTTCGTCGGTGGTTGGCACTTTCGGATTTCGGAACAGAGACCGACGTTGAATAAAGGAATAAAAGAAAAGAAAAAATAATACGAACGAAATCAGTGTGACTTGCACAAGCTACTACTTGTTTCTGATGCTGTTTACGTGTGAGAGAGTAGTAAATGTAAAATGAAACGATTTTTCGCATGCTTGATTGTCATTTGTTTACAATTATCTAAGACGTCATTTTGAAGTGTTCTTATGATTCAAAATGGCCGAATTTGAGCTCAAATCTGAATGATTGAGCAATTGTGTAAAGTTTCAAGCAAATCGGAGAAGGTTGAGTCTGAAATTCATTTTGGTTTTTGCTTTTGGCCTGGAGGAAAT